TGCTGCTTTATTGTGACTGCATGAGGTATTGTCATTGTGTTGCTTTGAATATTTAAGATAAAAGAAATGCTATTAAATGAGCTTTCCAACAATGTGCAGTAATTGGCTGTGTTTGACAGTCATTTATGTCTCAGTTCTAAATCTTGCAATAAAAAGTTTAACTCCCACTTAAAGTGGTTCTGACTTGGCTGTCAGTTTAGACTGATTCTTTCTCAGAACCATCTAGGAACGCCCAGGTTAAATACTCGAACTGTTTTAGTTACTGGGTGTTTGAGTAACTTTTTAATCGGAATTGAAAAGTACAATTTAGAGTATCCTCTGTTAATGAAATCATTTATTTTGAAGAGGATTTAGTGACGTTTGAGTCCTCCTCTTCTAGAGGGTATGTTCATAAATTGAAAGGTAAACTGAGAGGACTCTTTGTTTTAGATTTATTTTAAATATTTTCTTAAACTGATTGCATTAGTGGTAAGCAAGGTTGGTCTAGGGTGAATGTTTGACCTTAAACCTTCAGGCTACCGTCTCTGTTGGAAGAGTGATGGGGTTAGATGTTTTATGTTATGGGTGGAGTATCATTTCACCAATAAAAGGCTTTATAAGTTTGCTTTATGAAATCTTGTTTACCAGGCTCGTCGTTCTGCGTGTGCACTCCCATGGGCTGGTCACCATCGATCTGCAGTGTCACGAAGATGATAACATTGCACAGCTAGACAATGTAAGGGATCAAAAACGTGGAGTTTTCAATATTACTGTATTTCAAGCTTGTCGTGGCATACAGTTTTAAAATGCAAGACTTGATGTGAAGAACAGCTCTGCACAGACATTTATTTTCTTCATTTCCTCCACAGCTTTTAAATGCACTGGAAAATAAGTTAAAAGTTCTGTTAAATGGAAATATTACAAGGATTAAAAGGTGAGGGTCCTGGTTCTCATGATGCGTTTCCATTTGGGATGTTTGAAGACTTTATTTCATCAAGGATCTGTCATTATTTTTCATTTTCCCTCCAGGCTTCCAGCCTTAGTACGAGGAGCAAAAGTTGACCGATACTGGCCCACAGCTGATGGCAGGTTGGTGGAGTACGACGTTGATGAAGTGGTTTACGAAGAAGATTCTGCATACCAAAACATAAAGATATTGCACTCACAGCAGTATGGAAATATCCTAGTCCTTGATGGAGATGTCAGTAAGTATTTGTATAATAAACTAGTGCACACAAGAAAGCTCATTTAGACATCTGACTCTTTTTAAAAATATTAACAGAAGGCAACAAAGGGGTCAAATGGACGGCTTGTGTTACATTTATGTTCATTAATTAATATTTTTTTTATTGTGGGCAAATGTGGCCATTAACTTCAGCTTCACTTAGGATAGGTTTACACAAAATTGCATCTTATTTGTTAATAATTGTACGTAACTGATGTGTTAATGTTATGATGTTGCTGCAGACCTGGCAGAAAGTGATTTGGCGTACACGCAAGCCATCACAGGTAATGGAAGAGAGAATTATGCAGGGAAGGAGGTGCTGATATTAGGAGGAGGAGATGGAGGCATCCTCGCCGAGTTGGTCAAACAAAAGCCAAAGATGGTCACCATGGTGGAGATATCCTTTTGAGATTGTGTTCTGTTTTTTTCTGACTTTAACACCCAAAATGAAAGTAAGTCGACATCTTAACTTGACTCCTCCTTGACGAGGCATGCACATTGACCAGAAGGTGATCGATGGGTGCAAGATGTACATGAGGAGGACTTGTGGCAATACCCTGGACACCCTGAGGGGCGACTGTTACCAAGTGAGTGCTGGGAAATTAATGAGCTATTGGGGAAAATACATTGCCATCTCACAACTGTGATGCAAAATAGTTTGGTACAAGTAATGTTATTATTTGCTTCTTTAGTTTAAATATTCTTTTTAGCATTGTTTAATAACTTTGAATAGAAATTTTTAACAATGTATTTATTGCTGTTTGTATAAAACCAGAAATTCTGACTGAGGTACTTTACAATAAAAGTTATCTGTAGAGCAAATTGTGAATGTTGAATACCTAAAAGTAAATGTCAAAGATTTTACCGTCCAACATGTGGTGTTCATTGCAGATTCTGATTGAAGACTGTGTCCCCTTGCTGAAGAAGTATGTCCAGGAAGGAAGAACATTTGATTATGTAATTAATGACCTCACTGCAATCCCAATATCTACTGCACCAGAAGAAGGTTCCTGCATATCCATTAATCCATTGCACAAGCTGTGGCTACATGTGCATGATATAGAAAAGTCGGTGTTTAGTCTTTTCTCTGAAACTGTGTGCTCTCTGCAGACTCTATGTGGGAATTTCTACGTCTCATCTTGGATCTGTCGGTGCGTGTCCTGCACCCCAAGGGGAAATACTTCACACAGGTCAGTTCGGTTTTTTGCAGTATCTGCACAGTTTTGAGTGAAGCAGTCAAGCTTATCAAAGAGTCTGAAAGCTTTGTCAAAAGATGATGTACCATCTTAAGAGAAACTGGCAAATTTGCTCCAAATTACAAAATGCATGTCTAAAGACTTTTCTGTTTGTTGCGATTCTAACAATTGGAAAACGATACACAGTAAACATGTTTGACAAAAACCAACCAGCCAACTTTCAAGCACAACGGTGATGATTCAGGGTTGTTTAAAAATATTAACACAATATAGTCTAATCAGAGGCTTCAGACTTTAACCCAAAATGATCAGTTACTAATTTGTTCCAATGTATGTTGACTTCATGCTTTTTTTTTTTCTTGCCCCCCAAGCACAGTCAGGCAATTTTGCAAATGAAGTATAACTTCAAAGAGTAATACTTCAAAGTAGGGATGCATAAAATTTTACTGATACATTTCACAACCTTTTCAACAGCTTGAGAAAGACCACACACAATTATTCACCACCGTTTCTCCTCTTCAGTTAAACTCCCACAATCGTCATGACAAAACAAATAACATAGCCAAATGGCAACAAGATGGAAATACCAGTTGCTAATATCAGCCCAATTTTATTTATCGGATCAATTCCGATAAATTGAAAAATGACTCGGCTGATAACGATATAGAATGCGGTTAACTTTTATTTTTTTGTGTGTGCATTGTAAATTTTTTCCTTTTTTATTCCATCAGGGTAACAGCGTGAATCTGAAAGAGGCACTGAGTCTATATGAAGAACAGCTGGGAAAGCTCTCATGTCCTGTAGATTTCCAAAAAGAAGTGGTGTGCGTACCCTCCTACCTGGAGCAGTATCCTTCATTTTTACCGCCCAGTCATAGGTTTAAATCATGACATGCAGATCAATGCATCATAAAAACACTAGTATCATAAAAACTGTTTGCAGCCCTTAATAATCCTTTCAGATGGGTTTTCTACACTGCGTGGAAGAAGTGAAGACTTCCAGTTTTCTGAGCAGCTGGAATGTGAACGTTTGAATTCCCTTCTGCTTTTCACTTGGGCTTGAATGTGTGGTCTGACTGAACATGACATGAACACGGAAGGCTTGGAAAACGATTATTAAATAGTTACTGACTTGTTAGGTTTTTTACACCAACCGTTAATGTAGATCTTAAAGTGTATCTGTTAACTGCCAATGTGCTGAGGGACTGCTTCTCGGGTGACACATTGATTGGATCCAACTTTCAGGATCTTCTTGGATATAAACAGAAGATCCTGTTTACTCTTAACTGAAAACATCATTGCTGTGTATGTTTTTCTTGAGTTAATACAATGAGTTTTGTCAGAGTCTGAAGGAATTGGGCTGTTTGAGGTTGAGACCTCATCTTAATGCTCTGTTCCTAAGCTTGATCATCCCGGTGAAGTAAAACACAGAGGAAATGGGCAGACCTCAGTGTGTCCATTGCAAATGCAGCAAACTTCTGTTTTGTAATGGTGAAACACTCCACCCTATTTTAAGCCAGTTAATGTGAAGAGGAACATGCAAAGGTTGCTGTAAATTCAGTCTATTTGAAGGTGCACATGAATATTTATCAATGCCATTGAATCTTTCTCCTGCTCCTTAGGTTTTGATTTCACTGTTTGCTGCAACTATTTTTGTGTTAATGGATTTGACCTTGACTTGCATGTCTTCTGAAGAAACTTTTACAATTTATAAACACTGATCTGGTACACTGACAATGTGGTAACTTTGCCCACCATGTGTGTGAATCCTTTTTTTTTTCTCTCCTTTTGTTTCTGCCACTGAAATATGATGCAGCCCTTTCAGTCTGTATCAAGGCAGTGTGGTTCATCCCGATGAGTGCTAAGTGTTGTAGTCCAGGTGTGTTTTAAAAGGGAAATTATTCCTCATTGTTGCCATCTGTGCATGTGCTGGTTTTGATGTTCTGTTTTTGGCACCTTTGATTTCTCCTGATTAAGTATATTGGGTGCGTGCTGAAGACTGTGAATGTAGCTTGCATAGATGTACAGTACACAGCACATTAGATGGACCCTCTGGGACATTTATTTATTCAAATGCTGTTCTGAAACCGTTTGACCATCTACAATTAGTTTTGAGGGAAATGTTTTTTTTTTTTTTGTTTTTTTTTCCCCTTGTTTCATATGTATAGCAAAGATACCAAATGTTTGGAGCTGTAGAGTAAATATGTTGCAGCACACATTGCATTGTAACAACTGGGTGCTTCACTGCTTGCATTTATGTAAAGAAATGCTGAAATAAACATAAAAATTGATAAGCCTCTTAAAGCCAAGTCGTGCTTCTGTCTTGGCTGTAGCTCTTTTGCAGGCAGGAAATTTCCAATGTCATCCTACGTTGCTAAGCTTCTGTTGTAGTGAAATTGTAATTTAATATGCACAGAGAAATTGTTTGACGTGTTTGCAACTGCTGTTAATGTTAGCCTGAGGATGGCACCATACTCCAGATGGCTCCGTCACACAAAAGGTCTGAAGCATAATATGGTTTCTCAGCAGACAGACTTAAGTTGGATCCAACAAAACTTAAACAGAAAGCTTGTCTTAAACTTTATAGACAATTCTGGGGTTTACTATTTGATTAACAAGCGGGTAAAGGGAGATTTGAGTGATTTATCCACTGTTTCAGTGTTGGTGATTTACAGCAGCAGAATAAAAAAACTTGAAGTCGGTTGACCAACATGACTCGGATTGCCCTTTTTTGGCAAATATTTAACTTTGGGCATTCATATTTCAACTGTTTAATATGATAGAACTTTTTGGATATGTGTGGGATTTTAAAATGTGCCGTTATTGGATTATCTAAAGGCATATCTCGGTGTCAGATTTGAAAAAGGAAATCCATAAATCACAAATACTTCAATGACATAAAACGTAGTTTATTTATTGCTATATGAACTTTAATTTGCTTTTTGAAAGCAATAGATGTAAGGTGCATAAGATCATTAAATCTAAGATGCACATTAAAATGTTATCTGAAGGTAAATAAATATGTATATTAAATAAAGATTATGTAAAAATAAGCACAAAAAATAGCTTTAATGTTTTAAAAAAATCAACTTTAGACTTAGAATTTCTTAGAAATCAGTCAACTAATACATGTGACGGAAATGAACAATGCGTAAATATTTTCTGGTAAATTACATTTTATACAGGCAGTTAACGGGCTGCTCTCTGTGGGTCAGGACCCCCGTCGACTCCGGAGCTGCTGTCTGTTGATCTCGTTGAGAATCACATCTGTCCTCGGTTCTTCGTCAGCTGTAATTATTCTGTCTTCAAGTGGATTTCCTGCAATGTACATATTGGTAAATAATAGCTATTAAACCTATCCACAATTAGCAGCTACGGTAAAGATAGAAGGCAATACTTCATCTCTTATCCAGCAGTTTTTCTTCAAATTTGAAGTACAAGCAGAATCATATTCAAAACACAATGATCATGTTGAACTGCCACCTGAATCTTGGAGCTACTCTTAAATTAAGCCTATTATTGCTAGTATACCATACTGGACCTACTGGTCATGTCTGGCACCTTTCTCCAGAGGTCATGCTCAGTGACTATCCATAGGACAATGATTCAAAACAAAATTGCCAATAACAATGGTAAATATGATTTAATGTACAATTGTTTTCCAGACAGAATGACCTCAGATTAATATTTAATTCTGTGTGCGATAATTCAGCAGTAATATTTATTTTCAGGTATTTTACACATCCTTAGAAGGAATGCCAATGCATGTGGCGTGTTGGGTCAGTCAAAACCTATCACAGAAGGCATAACGTTGTTAAAGTAGAAATTCTTACTTACCAATGCCGTTCATCTGCCCTGATGGCGTACTGGGCAGAAAAGTGGATCTGGACGGCCGACTGCTTTGTGAGGACGTAAAGGAGGTCAGAGGAGACTTCTTTGCGGTTTTCTGTGTTGCAGTCCGACTCCATTCTAAAAGAATTAGGACATAAAAGAAAATGCAATATATAAGACAATCTTAAAAAAAATGCATTGAAAACTAGCTTACGAGTTTTAGATACAGGTGCACATTTTCATCCAGACTCACCTGAGTTTTCTGGGAGTCTCATATTGCCGCAGCACAGGTAGGTCCTCCACTGCCTTCTGACGGTTTCTTTCGCCGCACAGTGGAACACAAATATGAAGAATCCTGCAAAATGCAAGAACAATCTTTGGGGATCAGCAAAGTTTTTAACTTACTCTTGGATACAGGACAGGTGTAGGGTTCAACAACTCACCTTGCAGGGAATTAAAGATGGCAAAGAGGTACATAAATGCCAGATTAACAGGACCCCACGCAAAAAAGGCAAATCCCCACGTGAGACCTAGGAGGAGGGTGATCCCGATCAAGCTGCGTGCGTCCTGCGCCGTGCTGCGGTGCTTGTTGTTATGAGGATTTTGTTTTTTTATCCGGTGCAACTGGACTAAGACCACACCAAACATGATGATGTTGAAAATGAAAATCACACCGAAGTAGGCCACAACTGCCACGTAGAAAGCGATGTCGTTTCTTATCCAGCAGCTGCAAGACAACAAGGAGGAACAGTGAATAAGCTACTCATTATTAGTGATTTCATATGGAAGTTTAAACAGGGTTGTAAAGGGTCTAAACCTTAATAAATTAGAGAAGTATTGTAAAGAGGAGAGGACACAATTCTTCCTTAATAATGTAGCTTTGGGCCTTATTTGTGTATCATGAACTGAGATTTTAAATCCAATGATGATAATGTAATTTTGGACTCCTGAGATCAAATTTGACTCATTTTAACTTTTTAAAGACCAGATAATTTTTATTCATTATGTCCTGACACATAAAAGCTACACTTGAATGCTTTATTTTCCTGTGATTGTAGCTGTGAGTAAAACCCACTTTCAGCTTACTCAACTTACAAGTCGTCACTTGTTCCATCTGAAAACTTTCCATAGGACATGAGGCCGTAGTTGTTTTTGTCAATCGCAATCACAATGATGACCACGAGCATTGGGACTCCCCAGCCCACCAGCGAGAACTTCAGCATGTAGTGGGATATGTTGTCATTGAAGACTTTCACGAGCGCGTAGTACATGTGGACGCCCTCAAGCCCCATCCAGGTGAAGGAAACCAGCAGGAAGTAGTGAAGGAACCAGGCCGTGGAAATGCAGAGGCCCACGGCTTTGGGATAAAGAGCCAGCCAGGCATCCACCAGGAAGACCAGGTTGAGCAGCAGAAGAGCCAGGCAAAGCTGGATCAGAATTTTGGATGGGATGTCTTTACGCAGCTTTCTGTTGGGGTGAAAGGATTTAGACGTCAATCACTGATACATCAGTTGTTAAAAGTTGTTTTACATGCTAAAATTCTTTTACCTTTCCGCATTTTCTTCAAATCAAACCGCTATCGTCAGTGTGATTTACTGAGATTTGACGTCAGACTAATGCTAATGGATTTGCTCTCCCAAATAAAAATCTGAAAACTTACACGTTGGCATTTAGCGTCTTTCAACCCTGTCGAGAAAAGTCGAGCTCATCCCACTTCCCCATGCTGGAGATTTTAGTTTAATAATAACAATAAATAAAGCTATC